AGAGCAGGTGTTCAGCACAACAGAGGGCCCCGGAAGGGACCTTGCACTCTACGGGTAAGGAGAAGAGGGAGTCATGGGATCACGAAGGCAACATTTAAAGGCAGCAGTCCATTACTGCACTTTCATCTAGAATAAGCTACACAGTACTGAGAAAGATGCTTAGGTTTTTCTAACGAGATTACCATCCCCCCAAATTACATGAAAACAAGAAAAAAATCCAATTATCACCATAATTCTTGTGACACAGTGAAATTCTCTCTCCAAAAGCATCTCAAAGTCTGACGTAAGACATAAGAGCCAGCTATGTCTATGTCAGCTACGTCACTCCACCTACTGCTGTATTTCCAAGACCAAACATTAGATCTTAAAAAACAAAATAGGATAAATAATGGCAATAGAACAGTCTCTTCAACAAATGGTGCTGAAACAACCATATACCCTCCACACAAAGTAACTCAAAAGAGGTCATAGACCTAAATGCAAAATGCAATACAATAAAACTCCTAGAAGATATCACAGCTTAGATGATGATCTTGGGCATGGGAATAACATTGTAGATACAATACTTAAGGCACAATCCAGGAAAGAAAGACTTGGTAGGCTAGACTTCATTAAAATTAAAAACTTCTGCTTTGGGAAAGACACTACCAAGAGAATAGAAGACAAGCCACAGACCAGGAGAAAATATTTGAAAAGACACATCTGATAAAGGACTAGCACCCAAAATGTACAGAGAACTCTTTAAACTCAAATAAGAAAACAAGGAGGGGAGGGTATAGCTCAAGTGGTAGAGCCCATGCTTAGCATGCATGAGGTCCTGAGTTCAATCCCCAGTCCCTCCTCTAAAAATAAATAAATAAACCTAATTACTCATCCGCCCCAAAAAGTTAAAAAAAAACCACACACACACAATAAGAAAATAAACAACCTGATTAAAAAACAGACCAAAGACCTTAACAGATACCACACCAAAGAAAATATACAGATGGCAAATTAGTATGAAAAGATACTCCACCATAGTCATCAGAGAATTCAAATTAAAACAGCAATGAGATACCACCGCACACTTGCAATGGCCAAAATCTGGAATGCTGACATCACCAAATGCTGGCAAGGATGTGGAGCAACAAGAACTCTCAGACTTTGCTGGTAGGAATGCAAAACAATATGGTCACTCTGGAAGACAATTTGACTTTTTTTTTACAAAACTAAACATACTCTTACCATAGAATCCAGAAACTGGACTCCCTGGTATTTACCCAAAGGCGTTGGAAACTTATATGCACACAAAAACCTGCATGTGGATTTTCAAAGTAACCAAGATGCCTTCCAGTAGGTCCAGACAGTGGACTATTGTTCATCACTAAAAAGAATTAAACTATCAAGCCATGAAGAGACATGGAGACACCTTAAACGCATGTTACTAAGTGAAAGAAGTCAATCTGAAAAGGCTACATACTGTATGAATCCAACCATATGACATTCTGGAAAAGGCAAAACTATGAAAGTAGTAAAAACATCAGTGGTTGGGAGGGTGATGAATAAGTAGAGTACAGAGGATTTTTAGGGCTATAAAAATACACTGTATAATATTATAATGATGACTATATGTCATTATATATTTGTTCAAGCCCATAGAATGTACAACACCAAGAGTGAGCCCTAGTGTAAACTATGGACTTTAGGTAATTACTGAGGTGTCAATGCAGGTTCATTGATTTTAACAAAGGTACCACTCTGGTGAATGATGTTGATAATGAAGGAGACTGTCTGGGGTGGCCGGCGGGGGCCGGGGGGGCGGGTATTGGAAAAATGTCTGTACCTTCCTCTCAGTTTTGCTGTGAACCTAAAACTGCTCTTAAGAAGTAAAGTATTTTTAAACATAATGGGGAAGCTTCAAATTCTTAACAGACAGTTTAAAACAAAAGTTACTAAGAAAAAACAGTAAGTGCAAAAAAGCAGGGAAAATGGTTTACCCATTTCTGATAAACCATTTGTTTCCCTAATAATTACAACTTGCAGAGACCAAAATAGCTGCTGGAAAAACACTGACACCCAATACTTTCCTTTGCAACAGAAGTGTCTTCATGGATCCAACCTTCCTCTGCATATTAAATGTCTAACCACAAGATTGCTAAATAATGATGGTATCATTTCATCCCACAGAGTTCATTTTCTTAGAGGCAGAAATACAAATACTCAGTTTTTCTGTTCTGTCTAATCCATCTTTTTATGTGAATGTTTAGTTTCCCAAGTATCACTGAGACTTCATGACTTGACGGGCATGTATCTTCCCTTCCCCAAACCTCTCTACCCGACTCCCTCACCTGAAATGTTTATTCCAACTTTTCAACTGAGTAAACAAAATTCCTTCTTAATAAAATACGTTTTAAGCTTATGTGTTTGATTTGTCACTGCCTATCCCCTCTGCCCCTGCCTATTTGATGAAAAAGTGGCTTCAAAGCTGTTTCCTTAAATACATGAATGGGGAAAAGTGAGAGGGTGAATACAGATTTAGATCATGTCAGGCTGGATTGATAATTAATTCCACCATGATGTGTGTAAAACCAGGAGGAAAATTTGTTTCTTTTTCCACATGACATTAGTGAGTGATTAAGAATATCACTAAGGTATTTGCCACAATCAAATACAGAATTGGGGGTTGGGGGGGTCTTGCATACAAGGATTAAGTATTGATTTCACTCATCACAAAGCATTGTAGTAATCAACAGCAGTTTCAGGGTTCAGATATGAATTAGTAACCCTATATTATCTCCAGCAAATGAAGAGTGGCCATCCTCCACATCTGACATGCTTCATTTCTCATAAAGACTGCTTGTGGTGACTCACTGAGTCACATTCAGACCTCTAAGTTTAAATTCATAGTGTCCCACCTCAAAGTATTTCCAGAATTTCTTTTTTCACTAGTAAAGACCCCATACATCAAAGATTAAAGGATAATAAATATAATTCACTTCCATAACATTTCTCCATGCAATCCCTTTCATCACAGACATTCACTCTCAGCCTACCTCCCCCATACCTCACCCCAGATATCAACTAGTAAAGCAACCTATTAAGAAGATCCAACCAGGTGGGAAGGGTACAGCTCAGTGGTAGAGTGCTTGCTTAGCATGCACAAGGTCCTGGGTTCAATCCCCAGTACCTCCATTAAGAAATAAATAAATAAACCTAATTACATCCCCCCCACTCAAAAAAACCAAAAGCAGTTTTTTTGAATTAAAAAAAAAAAAGAAGATCCCACCAGAATTAAGCATAACAAATAAAGCAGTTTAGAACATGGCCCCTCGTGATCCACACCTCCTGGTAGTCACATCCTTGTATAAGCCCTTCCCCTTAAATCTGGGCTGGACCTAGTGACTGGCTTCTAATAAATAAAGCATGGCAAAAATGATGGAATGTCACTCCTGCTATTAGACGACAAATCTGCAATGTAACCTCTCCTGCTTTGCTGATTCACTTTTACTCTCTTGCTCACGCTGGGGGATGCCAGCCATCCTGCTGTATAATGGAGAAGCCTAAATAGCAAATAACTAAAGAGGGCCTCTGGCCAATAGCCAGCAAGAAACTGAGGCCCTCACTCAGTCCAACAACCCTGGACAAAATGTTGCCGACAACCACATGAATGAACTTGGAAGTGAATGTTCTCTCCCTTCAGTCGAGCCTTCAGATGAGACTAAAGCCCCAGCCAAGAGCTTGAATGCCTCAATGATGTGACTCTGAGCCAGCTAAGCTGCGCCCAGATTCCTGACTCAAAGAAACTGTGAGGTAATATATGTTTGGTCTTTGAAGCGACTAATTTGCTATGCAGCACCGGATAATCAATACAATCAGTATTTAACTTGCTTTAAAAACATGATGCCTCATAAGTGAGACTAAAAACATAACCACTCTCCTCAAATCTGGTAGCTACAGGAATCTGTCATGTGGCTGGGCTTTAACCTGGGGACCTGGGGGAAATGGTATGCTGGGTCATTAGAAGTTTCAGTTGCCTTCTTCAGAGCCCGATACTCACTTTCAGAGCGTCCCCTTCGTTGCCTTCCACCACTTCCAGAATTAGAGCAGCCAGGATGTTAAAGCCTTGGCAGTACCCAACATTCTTGTTCCATCGGGCATAGGCCAGCAGGACCCGCTTCAGCACAACCCTGTCCTGCTCAGCCTCCTGGCCGCAGTAAGAACTACAGCCTGTGCGGTGAAGATCCTAAAACGAGAGGCAAACAATATTTTTTAAAATAATTCCTTATGCTCTCTCCAAAAACAAACTTAAGTTATTTGCTATAGCAGTAACTGGAATCAGATTATCAACATGGATTTTAGTTTTCAAAAATGTATATGCAACTTGTACACATGGACCAAAACCTTTCTTCTTTTTTTTTTTTGATTTTCTAATGTGCTGAGGCAATTTCAAGAGGAATTTCAGTCAGGCAAATTTTCTACCTAAAGTATTTCTGGAGTTAACACCAAACGGGACTAGGAATTAACAAAAATTATACTATAATTCTATATAAACTGACAGTTTATTTTAATAATACATCTCAAATAAAACAAGTCATTCCAACACACGTATGCTAGATGCTAACATTATTTCTTTCCACAAAAAAAAAAAAAGATAAATAATATTTAGCTATGAAAACTTCAAATAGTATTAAGGAGCAAAAGAAAAGAATAAAAAAATGCAGCCCGAACTGTTAAGAGACAGAAAAATCATTCTGTCCAAGCTGTTTTAAAATTATGTGCAAAAAAGGATAAAAACATTTGCTGTACTATAATATTTAATGAGGGCAAAATCTATAATTTAATTACCAAGTAGAGTCTATGACTTTCAGGAGCTGAAGTCATTTTGCTGACATATTATTCACTTTAATAAGAAAATAAAAGAGTGTCTTAATAATATGATTGTTATAAAATGTGTATTGCCTTAATTCACAACTTAAACATAAAGAAAATATTTCAAACATGGACTGCTTCATCTCTGAGAAACACATACTGAAATTCTAAATAAATAACAGCTCAAATGCGGATAATGCAAAAGCTTTTCAAACAAACAATATAAAATTCTATATTTTCTTTTGGCATTTGTCTAAAACAGACCAAGTTAGATGAGAAAATAGCTCCTTTGTAGTTAGTACTTCCTCCTGAAAAAAATATGTTCAAATCTGCCAAAACATTAGCCATCTTCTGGAGGCCAAAATTTAGATGAAACAACTTTCCTTTTAAAACCTTAGCTGAGCATCACACGTAATGTACACATATAAAATAAAAAGCATGAGTTAGAGGCTTATTTATGTAAGGGAATAATGATGTATACAAATCAAATCAGCATCCTTGGGTTTTGGCACCAGGCTCTCATCAACTGCAATAATCCAAGGCAGGTGAAACACAGTGACCTCCACAGCTGGCTTGAACAGTTGACTGTCTGATTTAAAGTAAGCCCACCAGCTAATCTAACCACCTTCATAAACTGACAGTTAACAAATTATCAAAATCCTAATAAGAGCCTTATTATTCTAATATGAAATATACTTAACTTTAAATTTTTCTTGGTGACTTCTATGTAAAAACCCAGTTAAAAGCAGCAACCCATGCTGAAGAAAAAAAGGAATTTCAATCTCCTATCATGTGAGCAAGATAATAACTTAAATATAAATGGGAACACTTTCTTTTTACTGGCAACCTACAAAATTATGAAGACAAGACATCATCATGTTCCCCATTAAAAAGCCGTTAAATGATGAAATTAGGAAGCAGGAAATACACGGACGTCAAACCAAAAGGCTTATACAGCTCACAACAGCTCAATAACAAAAAACAAACAACCCAATCAAACCATAAGGCTTGATCTTCTGTCCAGAAAACATCTGGCTCCTAGACTCTGCCTTCTAAGTCAGGACAAGAGACCAAATCCAGGGCATTACCTTGACTATCTGAATTCCCATCGAGTCATCATCAGGATTACTCCTTTCGTTGAAAGTGAAGCGCATGGTTTTGTCCCAGTCAATGGCTATACTGTGCAAATAATGATCTGCCAAGGTCAACCAAACCTGAAATATTAAAGAAGAAGAATGCTAAAGTAAAATACATAATTTCACCTTTTTTTATTAGGAAATAGTGATTGCAATCACCAAGAAAATGAGCACTTCTCCCAGACCAGATATGGCCCACATTCAGAAACCTCTAAGAACCTCACTGAAATGATGCTGTACTAAGTTGCCCCAATTAGGGACTTTCATTTATTCTTTCAAGTAATATCTTTTGAGTTCTTACTATGTACCAAGCAATGATCAAGCCATTACAGATATTATTAAGAAAACAGAAAAGTCTTTCAGTTCATTGGAATAGCTACTTTATCTTGTACTTGGCTCTGTATAGCTCTCTGTGCTTGGGCAACAGCCACCTGGTCATTTTCTACCCTTCTGGTAGCTCAGGTCAATCCTGAAATCATCATTGACCTCCTTTACAATCAACCCAATAAAAATTCATGTCAACCTAGCCTTCAGAATATGTCAGAATCTCACCCCTCCTCTCCATCTCCACTACCACAACCCTGATCCATCTCTTGCCTGAATTAATGCAAGTCTTTTACTAGTTTCCTGCTGTTGTCCTTATTCCTCATATTCTCAAGTTAGTAGCCAAAAGTGGTCCATTTAAAATATAAGTTGTTATTCCCCTGCTTAAAACTTCCCAGTGCTTCTCATCTCACACTGGGCAAAAGTTCTCCTATGGCTATAAGGTCCTACGTGATCTGCCATCCCCCTGAGGTCATCATATTACCTCTATGACCTTCTCTCCAAATGTTTTCCTCTTTGTTCACTGAGCTTCAGCCACCCTGGCCTCTTGCTTTATCTTGCATACTCTTGAGATGATCTCACCTGAGTGTTTCCTGTTTGGAGTGCTTTTCCAGCGGGTAGCAACGTGGCCAACTGCTCACCTCTTTAAGGGCCCTATTCAAATGTCACCGTGCCATTTACAATGCTACCTTTTTACCTCCATTCCCCTACACTCTCCTTATTCCTTTCTCTGCTTTATTTTTAGGCACATCATTTATCACTATCTGAAATACTTCATATTGTACTCACTGTAAACTCCATGAGGACAAAAATTTTGGTCTACTGGGCTTTTTCCCACTGCCACATTCCCAGTACCCCCAGAACAGTACCTGGCATAGACTAGATTGAATTAATGACTGATGAAGAGAGACTTCAAATTACTAAATCTAGAATATCCTTTTTAACATTCCAGACACTTTAAAGAGGGATAGAGTGACAGTCCTTTTGTACTTGAGCCATGCAAATCCTCCTCACCTTTCTCCTCCATTCCTTTGGTATTCCTGTTGATAGTCTGGCAACTGCCTTGAGAGCATCATACCACTAGGAAGAAAGAAGAAATATTGTCAAGGTGATAATACTGACCTGGTTAAGTACTTTTCAACTTTTTTTGCATCTTGACATTTGTAGAGTATGATAAAATTTACACAGCACATTGGACTAAACAGTCAGAGCTTCTTTTGGACAGATAAGACTGGTCTGAGGGCTATGACGGCCCCAGGCTCTCCCACTTAGGTACCGTTAACACACCTGTGATGCACCTGCAGTACACACCCAAAGGTTGGGAAGCTCTGGTTCAGAAATCAAAATATGTATCATAGATTCAGAATAATAACATTTGGTTTTTTATATTTTTTCACACTTGCACCATTAATAAAAAGTGCAAAATTTTTCATTGCAAGTATAAACCCAGGCCACTTATAGCTTCATAAGTTACTGTACCTGCAATTTTAAAAACTGACTCATATTCTTATGTATATCCAAGCACATGCTAGTTTTCCCACTTTGAGAATATAGCTCAGTGTACCCTATAGATACCTCAAAATATGGGTATTTTCAAAATTAAAAAAAATTACCTGCTGAAAACCATTTTGACCTAAAGATGGCTCAAGAGTGAACTTCAGCTTTGTGTCAACTCCTAAAAGAAAAGAAAAAATTCATAAATGTTATTTGGGGAGCAAATAACATTAAAATAAAACTAAAAATTATCAAAAATAAAAGTTAAAGTTAACCTGAGTCATCATAAAATTTTTAAAACATCTATTTTTACTAAATTGTAGTCAATTTTGTAAAAAGAAAAGGAATACTGAGTATTAAAATAGAAAAATATCCTGCAGCAATAGAATGGAGCTTGGTGCGTAAAGGAGTGTAGAAGGTTGCACTTGACAAGCTGCCTCCAGCTGCCCCAGACAATCCTCACCCCTTTCCTGGAGCCCTGATGACCTGCCTGCCTCCTAATCCTTAAAATTCCCTTACTCCCCTCCCTTTGGGGAGAAGGTACCATTAGAGCATGAGCTCCCCTCTCCATTCTCTGGTCATTGAATAAAAGCTTGTCTTACTTGGACACACACACACACAAAAAGCTTATCACACAGAATGGTGGTTCCACAGTTGTCTTTAGTAATGCAAAAATAAAAACAACAAAAAAAAAGACACCAAGGGCTTGGAGTTATACAGACCTCCATTCAACTTTGGTTCCTAGAATCAAGCAAATTATTTAACCTGTCTCAGTCTCAATTCTTTATCCTTAAAATGAAGGTAATGTCTCAGTTAACTGTTGTGATGATTAACTGCAGTAAATCACCTAGCATAGTATAATTAATATTTATGAAACTTAGGAAAAGAATTCGTTACTTACAGAGTTTGTTTTCTAGTACACTTGCTTGGATTAAGTCTTTGAAAGAAACTTAAGTGAAATATCAAAGTTATAAAAATACTGTCATTGCCTTCCCAATTGTGGAATAATCCATTTTAACAATACTATTTGGAAATTTTCATATATTTTAAAATTCTGTCATATATTTATTCATTAAAGATGAGTTTATATATTTAATTATAGACTACAAGCTAAAATATAACTGAATTCTAATTCCAAGTTACCTACAACTTTAGATAAACTTCTTTGACTCAAATTCGAAATCTGTGTAATAAGTGAATAAACAGGAGAATATATAAAGACTATTTGCTATATTCATATTGGGCCTTTTTACTATTACTGAAGTGAAATTACATAAAAATTTTTACTCACTTAAATTCTATTAAAAATAGTATAATCAAATCTGAAAATGCTGTTTTTTCTATAACTTCAAAAATCAATGACATGACATTTTAAGTCACTTTTTAAAAAGACTAATTACTTAAAAGATCAAGTACCAAGATACACCAAACATTATCAATAGCATTCAGTTTTATAATTTGCAATTATCATTTATGAAGACACCTTTTCTTCTATGATGTTGAATGGCAGATTAGGCACACTGAAAACCTCTCCACAATTTCCACTACTTAAGGAACAATGTTCAGAATTTGTAAAATTATAATAATAAAGTATACTTGTCTTTTTGAAAACATACATATGGAGTCAAGAAACTGGAAAGCGATGTGTCTGATTTGCTCGAGCCCGTGACAGTGCGTATATGCCTTTCTTGGAGTCCGAGAAGAGTGCTGTGAATACAGGAGTTGGGTCCTAGGTTTCTAAAGTCAAACTGCGTGTGGTAGAGAATCCAAGGCATCCAATCAATGCCCTGATAATTCTTTTCAGAGCTTCAGGGCCAAAATCATACTCTGCCTAGACAGATAAGATTTTCTTATTCGAAGATATATTAAGTACCCCCGACGGATTCCCATCTCTCTCTGAGATGGTTTAAATGAAGTCCTGCCTCAGTGCAGCGCAATGATACAATGACCACAAGAGTGCCTCCAGCTGGAGCGCATAATATAAGACAATAAAACAGACCACCTTTGAGGTTGCTGTCCAGACACGGGGTGCTGAATGGAGGAGCGTACAATCACGACGTTTGCTTTATTATAACAAAGACCAGGAAATCCGGCCCCATGCTGACTTATTTTAACCGACCTAAAAGCCTCGGATTCCCTGTGTGTATGACCGAACAGGCTCCCTTGACTTTTTCAGAGTACCTACTGGACATCATGCTGATTACCTTGCCGTGCTGAAACCCAGCTGGGATTAGTCAAAACCACAACTATTTTCCCATGATCAAAAATGAGTCACAGGATTTAACTGGAATTGATCATTCGCCGCCTGCATGCGAAAGCTGAAATCAGGTCATTCCCAATTCTTTTCTTCTAACTGAATAAGGGAGTGGATAAGGTTTATGTTTCATCTGATAATCACCGGCTGTTTCGGGTTCAGAAATACGAAACACTTTTAACGTGGGAAGGAGATTTCTTTTTTTAAGGGCAAAGCAAGACTGTGAATACTACAGACAGCAACCAGACACTTCCTTGGGGAGAAAAACAAAGAAACCACGAGGTTTGGAAAGGCAGCGGCGAGTTCCACCCTTTGGGGCTCAGTGCCTCGGCAGATTCTCTCCTGCAGCCTCAGGATAGCAGGTCCCCAAAGGCCCTGGGAGGCGGTGGTGGGGGGACGAATCCGCCTGGAAGCCAGCTGGTGCTACTCTGGGGACAAGTGCGCACTAAGCACAAACACGAGTACCGCCGGCTCCCTCTGCGGCCACCCCTAGCCAGAAAGCCTTATGCCCAGGGGCCGCGCCAGGGCTGGGCTCAAAAAAACCCGGGGAGGGATGCCAGGCAGTGGAGCAGGCGCGAGTTATGCAGCCTGGAGAAGCAGGGATGGGTAAACAGGCTGAAAACAGAAAGGCCTAGCCTAGCACAGCCAAGAGCGGTCCCGATCTTTAACCACAGAAAGAATCTCTACTTTGCAGGAGTGTTTCCTGCATGCTTTCCACCTGAACGCTCAAATGAGAGGCTCCAGGCGAGATGATCTCGGCACTCACGAAGCAGAGACCCTCAGGAAAAAGCACCCGGTTTTCCCTTCGCAGTCGCTGCCCTCTCCAACCCCAGGTATCAAACCTGTACTTTTCTCTGCCTCGTACACTTCCCTCAAGGTCTGGCTGCTGGTGAGCCCGGAGCACAGTTGTTTGCACGGTCTCTGATGCCCCCGGCAGCCGCCAGCACTCTCCCACCACGCGGAGAAGGCCGAGCGCACCGCTCGCCAGCAGCTCCCGGCACAAGCAGGGCTGGACCGCGCACAGACCGCCGGGTGCGGGCGCGCGGACAGCCCGTTCTCCGCGCCTTGGGAGGCCGCTCCCCACCAGCCCAGGCCTTGGTCCGCTCTCTTCCCTCCCAAGCCGACCCAGCCCTGCCTGCGCCCAGCCGCGGTACCCTGCACCAGGCGGCCCGCGGGCTCTCCTCGACCTAGGCAGAGTCCAGCTGAGGCAGAGGCACCAGCTCCGGGGGTGCCACGCTACTTTCCGGTGCCCTATCTGGCACCCCGGGTCCTCACCCGGCTCCAGGGTGCAGAGCAGCCGGGGCGCGGTCCGGGAAATGCAGCTGCGCTTCTTGAGCACATTGCTCAGGATGGTGCCCACGCCGCCGCCGCCACCACCGCCACCGCCACCCTGCCGCTTCAGGCATCTCCCTCCGCGCCTCAGGGAGCCAGTCAGTTTGTCCTGCCGCATCCAAGAGCGTCCCGGGCTCCTGTGCGGCCGTCGTCCTCCTGGTTCCCCGCTGCCCTGCCGGCGTAGCGGCTTTGCGCGCGCCGGGCTTAGTGAGACCGCTTAGTCAAGGGTCCTTCGAGAGCAGAGAGGGTGCACCCGGCGCTGGAGGGTCGGGAGACCCTGAGGAGCACCGCGGGAGCCGCCAAGCACGGGGCGGCAGGCAGGCATCTGCACTGCGGAGCCTGCAAGGCTGAGGCAGGAGAGGGCTTGGGGCGGGGAGGAGGGCGGGAGCAAGCGAGCGCGGGAGATGGAGGCGGCGCTCCCGCCCCCAATCCCGGCATCACCGTGCGCAGGCGGGGTGGCCTTAGCTCCCGAGATCCCAGCCCGCTCCCGGCACCTGCGCGAGGGAGCCGCGGAGCCACTGAGCCCCGGAGCCTGGGGAGCAGAAGCAGCAACAGAGATTTCCGTGCTTCTCCCAAGATCGGGGAGGGGCTGGAGGGGGCACCAAAGTCGCAGGTGCAGAACAGCAGCGAGATGCCAATGCCCACCTCATCGGAGCAGCATAGGAAGAGAGGTCAACTGACCGCAGGATGAATCTGGCAGCGCGGCAGAGAAGCTGGTGGGTGGTGAAGCGCCAATCTCATCCCAAATTGTGTTCACCTCCTTCCTGGCATCTTGGAGAGGCACGGGAAGCACGTTAATAATTATTATTTTTATTAATGGTTGTTTCTTTTGGAAGAATGGACTTCAAGATAAAAATGTTCCCTCATTTAAAAGCAGGACTTTTTAAAGTGCTTCCCTGTCTCTCCAGCCAAAGACTTCAGTAGTCAAAACTATTAGCGATAATTACTGTTTAAAAAAAAAATTCATTCTTGGAAGGGAGGGTATAGCTCAGTGGTAGAGTGCATAATTGGTGTGTACATGGTCCTGTGTTCAATCCCCAGTACCTCCATTAAAAAACTTAAATAAACCTAATTACCCCTCAAAAAAAAAACGTTTTTTTTTAAAAGTCATTCTTAAACTACAGCATTCACCAATGGAATATTAGTCATAAAGATGAATTCGAGTTATAAGAAAAGAAAGGATGTGGAGGGAAATACCAAAATATCTGTATATGCCAATATTTAGAAAAGGAACACCAGATGGATTAAAAAATTTAAAAGTATTTATATGGAAGGGAATAGTGTAGAAGAGAGAGGAATAGAAAACAGGTTTCTTTGGATGTGCCTTACATAATTTTGACTCCGGAATAAAATGGTTTCTTTTTTTTGGTGGGAGGAGGTAATTAGGTTTATTTATTTACTGTTGGTGGAGGTATTGGGGATTGAACTCAGGACCTCATGCATGTTAAGTATGTGCTCTACCCCTTGAGCTATACCCTCCCTCCTATTAATATTAATAAATCAAACAAAAGAAAACCCTAAAAATTGAAAAGGAGTGGAAACAAACGAAGCTAACTAAATATCCTGTTGATGGCATAAGAACACAAAAAAATAAG